CAGAGCCTCGCACATGCTAGGCAAGCGCTCTACCACTGAGCCACAACCCCAGCCCTGTATGATCTATTTTGAGACTGGAACTCTAGAGCATATTATGGGTGTTGTTATGGAAAATCAAAAATATATTCCTGGGAAAAGAGATGGAAAGTAATGCTTACTATGCTAATATTTTCTGTGTGAAATCTTATTTAAAATATTTTTAAAATTATCTCAAATAATCCTTTAAAAAAAACTCTTATAGATGTGGAAACTGAGGCGAGTGGTGTTCAAGTGATATCCCTAACCTCATAACATAAATTGGAGAGTGTTTAAACCTGTTTCAGCTGACTTCAAAGTTTGTTTACTTGGTATTGCACAATGCTACTTTAGAGTTTGGAAAGACTCTGGTGACTGATGGCTCATTCCTGTACTGTTAACTGACCTTTAATATTTTGATAAAATAAATGCATGTGTACATAATGCCTGATGGCCCAGATGAGCATTTTTACTCAGCAGCTCTTAGCTGTTATGGCTCTATAACCAGTGGATAAGGGATAATGTATCCTCTACAAGAACCTTGATGGCTGGGGCTATAGCTCAGTTGGTAGAGTGCTTGCCTTTCATGTACAAGGTCCTATATTTGATCCCCAGCACCCCTCAAAAAAAAGCTTTGAACCCATCACATCAGCTTCACAGGTCTAAGAGTTTGTTTTTTTGTTTTTTGTTTTTTTTACAGAGAGAGAGAGAGAATTTTTTAAATATTTATTTATTTTTTTTTTAGTTCTCGGTGGACACAACATCTTTGTTGGTATGTGGTGCTGAGGATCGAACCCGGGCCACACGCATGCCAGAGGAGCGCACTATCGCTTGAGCCACATCCCCAGCCAGTTTTTTTTTTGTTTGTTTGTTTGTTTTTCTTTTTAATATTTTTATTAGTTGTTGATGGATCTTTAATTAATCTATTTATTTATTTATTTATATGCGGCGCTGAGGATCGAACCCAGTGCCTCACACATGCTACGCAAGCACTCTACCACTGAGCCACAACCCTAGCCCTAAGGGTTTATTTTGTACAATGTCCTTAGGAAAATGATTTTTAGATATGGTTTAGAGTCTTGTAGGGTAACACATTCATTTCCTTACTGACATGTCTATTTCTTATGTCCTAGGTACTTTTAAATTGAATACAGAAGCCGCTGAATTCATTCCTCAGGAGAGAAAAAATTCTGGTCTAAATTGTGGGACTCAAAGAAAATCAGACTCCAATAGGATTGGCAGAAGAAATTATAGTTCGTCACCTCCCTGTCACATTTCTAGGCAGATTCCTTATGATGACATCACTGTTGTTCATCAGCACAGTTATCCTTCAGGAAGTAAACCTAAGAGTCAACAGACTTTTTTCCAGTCTTCTACTTCTAATAAGTCACTCAAGAACCATAACCTTCAGAGTCAGCCTTGGCAAAAATTAAAGCATGAAAAACATCACATCAGAGTCAAGAAAATACAAGGGCTCAATGACCAGGGCTCAGATACAATTAGCTTAGAAAGTGTGGCCAGGCCAGAGAGTGGGACAAACCTCAGTGAGTATAGCCCTTCTGAGAGTGAGAAAGAAATTGTTGGTGCAGATCCCAGGGGAGCAAAACCGAAAAAGTCAGCTCAATTTGTATACAGTTATGGTAGAGGATCAAAAGTCAAGGGGAAACTAAAGTGTGAATGGGGTAACAAAATGACTCCAAAACTTGAGGATTCTGGACTTGAAAATACCAAATCTGTGGGGGTTTGCCACCCTGACTCTTCAGATGCATCCTGTAAAAAAGGAGCACTGGATGGGTATGGAGCCAGACGAAATGAGCAAAGAAGATACCCACAGAAAAGGCCTCCGTGGGAAGTGGAAGGGGCCAGGCCACGACCAGGCCGGAATCCACCAAAACAAGAGAGCCAACGACATACAAATGCAGGGCCCAGAATCAACCTGGCCCCCATTCCAAAGGACAATCTCAATGAAAGACCAACAAAATCAGCCTGTGACAGTGGGAATTTGGCAGTTGTCAACAAGTCTTCCAGAAGGGTTGACCAAGAGAAAAGTGCTATAAGGAGACAGGATCCTCAAGTGATATCTTCTTTCTCCCGAGGCAAACAGAACCATGTGTTAAAGAATGTGGAAACCCATACAGGTAAACCCACCTAGATGTGTGGAAATATATTTTTAATATATATATATTTTTTTAAATATTTATTTTTCAGTTTTCAGCAGACACAACATCTTTGTTTGTATGTGGTGTTGAGGATCGAACCCAGGCTGCATGCACGCCAGGCAAGCACACTACCGCTTGAGCCACATCCCCAGCCCTATTTTTAATATTTTTTTTAACAAGTAATATATTCACATAATTTAGAAAACAAAGTACAAAAAGGTACACAGTGAAAAGTATCTTAATTCTTCTTGTGCCTGGGTTCTGTTGCTCTTCTTCCCACTGGTAAGTACTTAACATGGTTTTATGTATATTACAAACAAATATAAATAAGGACTTTTTCATATAAGGAGCTTTGTAAGGGTTCTTAAAACTGCAGATATAGATGGTGAAGATGTCTAGCTATAAGATTTTTTTTTTTCCCCTGCAGTACTAGGAATTGAACCCAGGGCCTGGTGCATGTTAGGCAAGCACTGTACCTTTGAACTACATACCCAGCCCTGAAGACTTTTTTGAGTTGTGAAAGCAGAAGTAGGGGATAGTAACATCCACACTCTCTTTGCAGGTTCCAGCCTGTGTCACCTAATCTGCTTCATCTTGTCTGCTCAGTTGTGATGGTTCCTATGGTGATCTCTTAATTTCTCTCTTTCATTTCATCTCTTGCACCCCCATCAGAGAGCATTGTTTTAGCATCATATTGAACTGCCTTTTCCCTGCTCTTTTCCATTTATTAGTTCTCATTGCATACAGATTCTGGCTACTGCCTTACTCAGGCCTGTCTTCTATTACCTCGGTGTCCACCATTTCAATTTCCTGGATTCAGTACTATTGTATCTTTCCATGCTGTTGCATGAAGCTCCTTCTGTCTAGAATTTCTACTACTCAGCTTACTGGTGATTTATTTATTTATTTGTACTGAGGATTAAAACCATGGGTACTTAACCACTGAGTCACTTCCCCAGTCCTTTTTTTAATTTTAAGACAGGATCTTGCAAATTGCTGAGGCTGGCCTCAAACTTGTGATCCTCCTATGCTACTATACCCAACCTAACTGGTAAATTTTTTTTTTTTTTTTTTTTGTACCGGGGATTGAACTCAAGGGCACTCAACCACTGACCTCCCTGTTGCTGAGGTTGACTTTGAACTCCCAATCCTCCTGTCTCTGTCTCCCTAGCTGCTGGAATTACAAGCGTGTGCCACCACACCCAATGTGAATTCTTATTGATGTTTCCAAAGCTTAATTTAGTTAAATGTTCAGGGAACATTTTCTCATCCCTATAGATAGCATTAATTTTTTTCAGACCTTATATGTATATCTTTCATATATATATATATATGTGTGTGGGTGGGTGTGTATATATATATGTATATATGTGTGTGTGTGCGCGCACGCGTGCGCATATATGTGTATATATGTACATATGTAAGTATGTATGTATGTGTATATGCTTCTATTTCAGAATTTACCACTGGAAATCATAATTTGTTTATGTGTCAGTGCCTTTACTAGTCTGTAAACCCATTAAAAACAAATATTGGCCAGGCACATTGGTGCACACCTGTAATCCCAGTGACTCAGGAGGCTGCAGCAGGAGAATCACAAGTTTGAGACCAGCCTCTGTGACTTAGTGAGACTCTTTCAAAATAGAAAGGGATTGGGACATAGTAGTAAAGTGCCCCAGGTTCAATCCTCAGTGTTGCCAAAAGAGAAAAACAGTTACTGTGTCTCTTTTTTTCAGCTTTTTGGAATTCTGTCTTAACAGCTCATGGAACATATGTAGTTCATCCTTAAATTGAACTGAAAACTTTTTTTTCTATGGATGCTGTCTGTATTTTGGTTCAAGTTCTATCCTTTATAACAGCACAGCAATCAGTATTTCTCCTCATGGTTTCCCTCCCCCTTGTTTCACAGTTGGAGACCTTTCCTTTTTCCCTGAGTGTACATCTCATCAAGGCTAAATAGTTTTATCCCATTATTATTGTGAACTTTTACCATCTTGGTCTTTTTTCAGTTTTAATGTGAGATATAGCCTAACCCATGAAGCTGCCACATTCCTGGAGTCTGTTTTTATACTAGCCTTTATTCTTCTAGTTGCTTGCTTTACCAGGTAGTCCTTGGGACTCAACTTTTATGTGAAGCAAAGCAGTGTTATGCCAGAGTTGTTTTTTATTGTTGTTTGTTTATTTATGATAGTGTAGATTGAACCCAGAGCCTCACACATGCTAGGCCAGTGCTCTACAAGCCCTTTTTTCATTTTATTTGAGAAAGGATATTGCTAAGTTCCCGGGGCTGGCCTGGACTTACGATCCTTTTGCCTTAGTCTCCTGAGTAGCTGGAATTATAGGTGTATGCTACTGGGATCAGGGCAATGCTGGGGATTACACCTGAGCACCTTGCACAGTCTAGGCAAGTGTTCTACCACTGAACTGCACTCCTAGTCTCTCAGGGTTGTTTTGAATCCTTAAGGCTGGTAATGGGTCACTTATTGCTTTATAATGAATTATCATAAACATAGTGGGTTAATATAACACAAATTTAATATGTGACAGTTGCTGTGAAGTAGGAGACTGGGTATGGGTTAGCTGGATTCTCTATTCAGGGCATCCCAGGCTGAAATTTGGCCAGAGATGTGACCTTTGAGGATCAGGACCCTCTTTCATTCTCACTGCTGGTGGTAGGATTCAGTTTCTTAAGGGTCCAAACTGAAGTCCTTTTTTTTTTTTTTTTTTTGGCTAGGATTCACTCTCAGCTCCTAGAAGCCAGTCCTAATTTTCTATTATGTGGCCTTATTTATAACATTGTAGTTAGCTTTTTTGAGGCATACAGAAAAATATATTCTATAAGTTTCAAATCATTCTGACTTCTGTCTCCTTTGTTGTTGTTAATTGGTTTTGTTTTTAGTAGTACTGGGGATTGAACCCAGGGCCTCATGCATTCTAGGCAAGTGTTATACCACTGAGCTACATCCCCAGCCCTTTTAATTTTAAGACAAGGTCTTGCCAAGTTGCCCAGGCTACTTTGAACTTAAATACTCCTGTCTTGCTCAGCCTCTATAGAGTAGCTGGGATTATGAACAAGCACCACTGCACCCAGGTGTCCACTTTTTTATTATTTTTTGGTACCAGGAATTAAACCCAGAGATGCTTAGCCACTCAGCCACAACCTGGTCCTTTTTTATTTTTTATTTTAAGACAGAGTCTTGCTGAGTTGTTGAGGCTGGCTTTGAACTTGTGATCCTCCTGCTTCAGCCTCCCAAGACGCTGGGATCATGGGCATGTGCTACCACATCCAGTACTCTCCACTCGTTTAAAAGGATTCACCTGACTAGGTCAGGCATAACCCTTCTCAAAGGGAGGTACCTTTTCAGAGTGTACACATCAAGGAGGTGGAAGTCTGGGAGCCCATCTTAGACTTCTGCTCAGTAAATCTCTCAAGGCCTTACATTCTCACAGTATATGTTACTTCATTCATATTATTGTGTAAATACAATCATCTCTTGGTATCCACAGATGGTTGGTTCCAGGACCCCTTCCAGATACTGAAATCCACAGATACTGAAGTCCCTTATATAAAATGATGTCTCATTTTCATATGACCTAAGCATGTTCTCCCATATATTTTAAATTATTTTTAGGTTATTTATAGTCCCAAACAAAATGTAAATGCTGTGTACATAGTTGTTATACTGTATTTATGGAATAATAACTAGTAAAGAAAGCTGTACATGTTCAGTACAGAACAGGTATTTTTAAAGAATTTAACCTTTTATTTATTTAATTTATTTGTTTTTATGTGATGCTGAGGATCTAACCCATTGTCTCATCTGTGCTAGGCAAGCACTCTATCACTGAGCTACAACCCCAGCCCATTCCAGAGCAGTTTTTAAGGGAAAAGAAAAAAAAAATCAGTCTGTGATTGTTTGAATCAGCAGATGTGCAACCCACGAATATGGAGGCCTGAGTTCCTATATACCATTCACTGTGCTAGATGCATTAAATACTGAGAATGTTTACATTGTAGTAGGGAAGACAGGCAGAATATTTAATATATCAGGTGGTGATAAAGTTTAAAAAGAAATACAAAGCAGGTTGAAGACAAAAGTGGCCAGGATGCTATTTTTTTAAAATATTTTTTAATTGTAGTTGGACACAACACCTTTATTTCACTTATTATTTTTATGTGGTGCTGAGGGTGGAACCCAGGGTCTTGCATGTGTGAGGTGAGTAGTCTACCGCTGAGCCACAACCCCAGCCCAGGATGCTATTTTAGATAGATTGATATGCTTTTTTTTTGGTGATGCTGGTGGTTGAACCAGGAACATCTTAGGCAAGTGCGTTACCACTATATCTCCAGCCCATGAGGAAACATTTGTACAGAGACCAAAACAAAGTACAGAATCCTCTCTGTGGCCCTTTGAGGAGGAACAAATTTAGATGGAGGGAGGGGCATTATGGTCAATAAATGCGGGTAGGAGAAACAGTCAGAGAATTAATAGGGGCTGGATCATGTGAGGCCCTTAGTTTTGGTTCTGAGTAAGTAGATGAGAATCTGCTAGGGGTTTTGGGAGGATGGTATGCTCTTTCTAAAATAATGATCACTGGGCTGGGGTTGTGGTTCAGTGGTGGAGCACTTGCCTAGCATAAGTGCGGCCCTGGGTTTGATCCTCAGCACCACATAAAAATAAATAAATAAAATAAAGGCATTGTGTTCAATTATAACTAAAAAATAAATATTAAAAAATAAAATAAGGGGCTGAGGATGTGGCTCAAGCAGTTTCGCGCTCGCCTGGCATGCATGCGGCCCGGGTTCGATCCTCAGCACCACATACAAACAAAGATGTTGTGTCCGCCGAAAACTAAAAAATAAATAAAAAATAAAATAAAATAAAATAATGATCATTTAGTCTGCTATGTGGAGAAAAGACTGAGAAAACAACAGGGCAGATTAGTATAATATGATAGTAATTCTGATGGGAGAAGAC